ACCTGAAAGTCCATCTATAATAAAAAATAAATATTTTATTTTGGTTTCAAGTGTTAAATCTTCCACTAAAGTACTTCTCAAATTTCCTCCCTCAAAATATTGTAAAACCATCATATAATTTTTAGTATTTGGATCTTGAGTTATTCCAAAACACATAACAGTATTACCAGCATAAATATGACATGAAATATAATATTTAATCTAAAATCATAAATTTTGTTAATAAATTATGTATTAAAATACAAATATTAGTAAGCGATATTTATTTTAATTACCTCATTTAAAAAATCATTACTTATATTATTAGATGAATTATTTAAACTTTTCAATGCAACTTTTATTGAAGTTCGGATCCATTCTTGATTTTCAATATCCCAATGCCCAATTTTTCCTTCGGGCCAGTAAGCCGAATAAATATTACTAAAACCACCTCTAGTAAGATAGGTAACATTTTCAAAATTTTCAAAAGGTATCCATTCAAGACATTTTGCGCAAAAAAAAGCATTAAGTTGTGATTGTTGTATTAATTCATCAATATTTTTATTTCCACTAGTCCAATTTTTAAAATTTTCCTTAAATCTTTTAGCGTTACAAGGTTGACACCAAAGATATCCTGTACCTGGTTCATTACATTCTCCACATACTCCGTATAATTCTTTTCTTTTTTCTAAATCCATAATATTTACTTTTTTAAAAACGGAAATAGTTTCATCTGATTCAGTAGTTGAATCAGTTGAAAAAATTGTAGCGTGGAGCTATCAAAATAAATGGAATGTTAATAAATATCTATATTGTTTATTATATTATAATATTTTTACCTGATAATCATCATCATAATCTTTTTTCCATAAATTTTTAGCATCAGTTTTAGAATTATTTTTTATTGTAATCTCAGTTGTATCTAAATTTTGGTTTGAAATATCCATTTTATTAATATTCCTAAGTAAAAATATAACACTTATAATTTAGCGAATATACTCAATTGTAAATTTTTAATAATATTAATAATGAAAAAAAAAAAAAAAATTGGGCGTCACGGTTAAATCTCATTTGTCATTAATTGCAAATCTTCCCTAATTGATATTACATAGTGAACCTAACTTAATTTTGTGTCAATGTTATGATCTCATGACTAAAGGTAAAGTTTCAGAAAAAAATTTTTTTTTCTCTGGTTTATTTCACATGTAAATGGTAAAATTTTCATAGAACTTTTATCCAAAATTAACTTTTTTACTTTTTGATAAAAAGAATATTTAATACTGTGATTTGATACCGTTTTATTTTTTGTGTTTGGTAAAAAAAATTAATTATAGTGGTTTCAAAATTATGCCGATCATGTGTCGATCATTTTTTTTTGACATTTGGATTGGACACATTTTATAGGTGTATAAAGTTTTTATATGAAAACCTGTTGTTATACCTTAAAAAAAAGTTGTTATTTAAACTTTTAAAGGTTCACAATAAAATCATACTGAAGAAAGCTGCTCTATAACAGAAAAGTAGTTTTATGAAATCAAACAACAATGATAGGATGTTATTGTACAGAATGTACAGTACATTGTATAATTATGAGTTATATATGTATATGTATATGAAATTGTCCAATAATTAGTACAGGACCCAGAAATATATATATAAGGGTCAGGCTTGAGTTTGCGTATTTTGAACTAAAAAATCATGAAAATCTTTCCTTTTTTAGATAATTTTGATAATGCCAGTCAGACTTTTATTTCCTATTATAGTAACCGACTGGCATTATCATAATTTCGGCCCTGAAAAAATGCGTACAGCTCATAGTTTTTCATCACCTGACCCCTATATTTCTGGGTCCTTGTACAATCTTTATATTAAATATTATTATTCTTTCTATATAAATACTGTATTGTTTCAATTTAATTCCGACAATTTTTTTTTATATACCTTTAAAAATTTTATATTTGAAACTGGTTATTTAGTTATTTTTTTTTGATCTACTAGCAAAAATTCCTTATTCAATAAAACATATCGAAGAAAGTAATAACAATGTCATAATATACAGGAAAGTGTTTTCCAGCTTCAATAAATAATACCTTGTTTGCAATATTCATGCTACCTTATAAATGAACTGGAATATTTTAACCCCGAATTTCTATTTTCGGTGCTAATATATTGAACTAGAACTTATTAAAACGATTTTATATAAAATTTTGTTGATATCTGAAAATGCGTTGAATACATTTTGTCACTTTCTCAATGATATTCAATAAATAAATAAATAAATAAAATTGAAAATATTAAATATTAATCAAAATTTCAACTAGCTATTAGACAAAGAAAGGTTAATCAAAACTTTTCAAGCACATAATGATTGTTAAGTAAAAACCATAATATTCTTTGATAATTTAAATGGGTTGGCTCACTTGGCTGAATAGAAAAAGTGAAGCGAAAGGAAGTTCAAAGACAATAATTTTTTTTAAGGAATACAAATTATGTGACTGACTGACAATAATTTAAATGCATATTCACTATTTCATCAATAATTATTTCTTAGCAAACTTTTCTCTTGTTTGCTATTTGCAAACTAACCTCATTGCCTTCAATAATACAAGTGGCGACAACAGGAAAATAAAGTTACTGTTTTTGCATTTGTGTGAACTTAGTATTTCTTTCTCTGCACTGTGGCATCCCTATAAAAAAAGAATGTCCGGAAATTGTAGCTGAAAACGTCCGGAAATGTTTATTTGTCTGGAATATGTCCGGAATATTGCAATATTCCGGATGTTGGAAAATTTCCATTTTCCGGAAAATGTCCAGAAAATGTCTAGGAGGGTTCAGACCCAGCGTCCAGAAAGTGTCCGGAATATTGCAATTTTCTGGACGTTTTCAGGACACACGGACATTTTCCGGATGTTTTTAGCTACAATTTCTGGACATTTTTTTTTTACAGGGTATTGTCGCTGTTCTGTTTGATAAAAAACATATATTTACTTTATTTGACCATTAAAACGTTTTCTATGGGATTATAGAAATTATTATTTATACTTCGGCTTGTAATCTAATAAAAAAATTTGGACACTCTTTCAATATCCCCTCATAATTTTTTTTTACATAATCCTAAATCAACATTGAGTTAATCTTTTCTTTCTATTTTCTCTTAACTCAATTCTCGCTGTTGATGTCGTTGTTGCTACTATGGTCCATTAGAGCCTATAGGTCCCGCAAAATTTCAAAAATTACCAAATCCTCCTGGATATTAGAACTAATTCATGGAAAGTTCTTTGAATACAAGGATTTGAAAATAAAAGTGGAAAGAACGAACCTTTGTTGTTAGATAAAGAATTTATTTGATCGACATTTGCAACAATTCAATATTATCATGAGAGTCTAGTAATATGATACAAATATTATTTTAAACGTAATCAAAAAAAAAAAAAAATATGAATTAAATCATATACATTCCATCGATTTTATCGAGCTTCAATAAGCCTAAATTTCATCTCAAAGAAAAATTATTTTATATAAATTAACGTAAAAGAACGAAAAGGATGATGTGGAATGTTGATGACTGATAATGAAGTGTGATTAATAATTAATTTTTTTTTTTAAAAAAAAAAAAAAATGTACATTCTAAAGATAGTTTCATTCAATACAGAACTTTTCATGAGGTTTTAATTTTTAACAGTGCAAATACTTAAGAAGAACATGGCGTAGAATAGAAATGATAGGATAAGTTATATTATCCGTTATATTATTTGTCTTTTTTTTCCGTTCCGTTTCGGCAAATATTTCGTCTCTTCAAAAGAATAAGTTGGGCAACATGTTTACGTACATCCATGATATTTGAATATATATATACTTCATCAGTCGAACGTTCAATATCAAAGTATCTCTTTGTAACAATTTAATCGTTTTTGAACATTATACGCAAATGTTCCTTAATAAATTATAAATGTGTGATTAATTCATAAAATTTATATAAATAAGTTGATTGAATTTCAAAAATTTATACACAATTCTATAAATAGATTTCATTTTCATGAAAACTTACACAATATGAGCTACTTTAGAGTTTAGACTATACCATTTTAATTTTAGAACAAAATTATTTCTTTGTTGATATTTCCGACGCAGTAGTACAACATTTGTCGTGTTACACGAATACTGAACATAAAATGAAGCTTTTCCACATCTAAATAATTTTCTTTCCGATATTTTGACTTATTCCGTTATCTTGTTATTATAAAGTCTATTATTATTGTTTTTTTGAATAATTTATCAAACCATGAGTTGGAACGGATATTGTGAGAAATGTGAAGTAAATACGAGAAGCTATTGGTGTAAGGCATGTAATGCAAAACGGTTTCAACAAAATTTTAAAAATTGGACTAGCGGTAATAATGATATTGACAAATTTATTCAAGATACTCAATTATCAGCAAATAATAAATAAGAAGTATTAGAGTGGATACCTTACAATAAATTTTATGATATTGAATATATTGCAAAAGGCGGTTTTGGAAAAGTTTATAGAGCAAAATGGATTGATGGACAAATTGAAAGATGGGATAATGAAAATCAAAATTGGAGACGATTTGATTCAAATATGTTTGTAGCACTGAAAAGTTTAAATAATTCAGAAAATGTTACACTAGAATTTATCAATGAGGTATAAATTTTTATTATTTAATGAAATTTTTTGATGTGATCTTTTAAAAAAAATGTATATTTAGATTAAATTACACAGTAAAATTGGCGCTTATACGATGAATGTCATTATAGCTTATGGAATAACTCAAGATCCAGAAACAAAAAATTATATGATGGTCTTGGAATATGCAGAAAATGGAAGTTTACGAAATTACTTAAATAAAAATTACAGTGAATTAGATTGGGAGAATAAGCTTAAAAATTTATTAAATATTGCATCTGGACTTGAGAAAATTCACGAAAACGAATTGACTCATAGAGATTTACATATTGGCAATGTATTAATGAATCATTCACAGACTATTATAACCGATATGGGGTTATGTAAACCTGCAGATTATAAAGAATCAGAAAGTGCAAAAAATAAAATATATGGTGTTTTACCTTATATTTCCCCTGAAATTTTAAGAGGACAAAATTATACTAAAGCTTCTGATATTTATAGTTTTGGTATAATTATGTATGAAGTAATTTCTGGATTACCTCCTTATCATGATGTAAGTCATGATGAAAATTTAGCAATAAAAATTTGTCAAGGACTTAGACCAAGGTTTAATATTAAAGTACCTCAATTAATTATACATTTAATTAAAAGATGCTTAGATGCAAATCCATTAAATCGACCAACAGCAAATGAAATTGAAGAAATTTTAAATCAATGGTATCGTGAATTTAGCAATCTAATAGAATTACAAAAACAAATTAAAGAAGCAGAAGAAATCAACCATAGTTTATCGACTAGCAGCATACCTTTAACTAATTTAGGATTAACATATGAAACACATTCTGAAGCTGTTTATACAAGTAGATTACTTAATTTTAATAATCTTCCCGAACCAAAAAATTCTGATGATTATTATGATGAACGAAATGATAATATAATTAGTGAAAATTTTTCAGGTAAATAATAATTTGCGAATAACTAAATTAATTATAAAAATACTAACGTATTTTATTTCATCATATAGAATCTCTACAAATTAATATTTCACAATTGAAAATTAGTGATGCAGGTATGTACTGTATAATGATAATTTTAACTCTTTTTTTATTTTATTATATATAATAAATAAATATTTTTTTCGTATTGCAGAAGAAACAAAAAATGTTGAAGAAATGATAGAATAAGAAATTGTAGTAAATTAGTAGGATAGTAGCTTATTTATGGTAGTAATCTTTTATTATAGATACTTAACATATCTTATCATATATTTTGTATATCTCATGATTATAATGTTACGTTTATTTATTTTATATATTACAAATTAAATATGAATTCTTGTATTTTTGTTTTTTTGATTTGTATGAAATTTTATATTGGATTTATAATATTAAAAAATTTAGTGTACTAAATGTACTTGACATATTTAACGTTCGGAAAATAAAAAAAATGAGATTTTATAAAGCCGTAATAAATAATAATCCTTTTAAATTAGTTTAATGAAGCTGGCGATCAAATAAATACTTGTTATCTCATTGTGTATGACGTATACACCGGATTCTATACTTTTTATACTTTTTTTATACCGGTGGAGTAAATTACAAAAAAATCCATCGGTATATACATAATACCTTCTTTCTTTAATCTACTAGATACTAACATACTGTATTTATAATATTAGGACGAAACAATACAATAATTAAAATAAAGTAGTTACAGTATAAGTTTATTATGCGCTGAAATCTAATGTAAAAAAAAAAATATGTTAGTAAAAATTTAAAAATTTTCATTTAAAATAATAATAAATAAATTTTTTTACCTCATTGATAAATTCAAATGTGACATTTTCTGAATTATTTAAACTTTTTCAGAGCTACAACCATGTTTTCATTATATCGTACCCACTTTTGATTATTACTATCCCATTTATCTATACGTCCATCAATCCACCTTTTGCAATAAATTTAATATCATAAAATTTATCATAAGATATCCATTCTAATGCATTAAATGTGAAAGTATGTGCAGATAATTGAGTATCTTTAATAAACTTATCAATATGATCATTATTACCACTAGTCCAATTTTTGAAAATATATTGCATTACACATACTGTACATCCATAGTTATCACATCTCTTATATTTATTGTTATTACTTGATGGCTTAATTAGCTTTTTTTACCATCAAGATTTTTTCTTTACCTACAAAATATATTAAAATTAATAAAATTATTAAATATAAAAAAGCGAAATAAAAAAAAAAAATTTTTTTTGTAACCATCCGAGATTGGCATGACAAAATCACTTACTTTGTTACACCGAAAATAACTTTATGTTACATCCGGTAAAGGCAAAAATCAGTCAAGACCCATATGATTCTCGACAATGTTCTAACTTTAATTTTGTAATCTGGTCTACAGAAAAAATTGGATTAACGATAATAAGTTAATTAAATTTACTATTTTTTCATTTATTTTCAATTATGAAATATCAATTAACAAGGATCCTATTTATAAAAAAATATGGTATATATTTTAATATTGGCCGGTTATGTAGAACGTCATTCAGTCACTTGACAAATAACCACGTGGCATAATACATTGTCATAGAAATCAACTTATTTTCTAAATTAGAAATTTTGCCTTGCGTAGTTAAATTTGGCCGTCGTTTCATACCATATTTTTACTTGTGTGACTTAGAATACTTGCCTAGCTTTTTTTGAAATTTATAACTAATTTTTTTAAAATTAAAATAGAAAGTAAAAATGATTCAAAGAAAATTTAGTTAAAATTTTTTGTATTCACTATTTTTTGACCTAATGGGATTTATTACATACAAAACCTTAATTACTGAATTGATTTTTTCAATATAAATATAGAACTTATTGTTTAGAATAAGAGTTACATACTGTACATACTATTCAGGAAAATAATAACAAAATCTATATATATATAAAAAAATTTACGTTTATACATTTGTAAAAATTTAGGAAGAGATAATCCATTTTTTTCCCTCCACTTTTACAATTTTCACTGCTCATCCTTCACACATTTCGTAAAAGTCATTTAATTTTTCCTAACCTCCCACGAATCTGTGTATTATCAATTGTTTGATTTTAAATAAAAAATTAAAAATATTTGATGACAATAAGAAATTGGTTATTTACCTTAATTTTCAGTTAGGAGGGACAGAGTAACAGGAGCGATAGGGTCGGTTCCCATGGAGTCTTCGGGAGTTGTTTTAGCTTTTTTAGTGGTTTCGTGAGGTGCAGAAAAAGAGTCAGAACGATCATTACTCAAAGAGCCACTAGAAGCCGCGAGACGTTGGGCAGTAGCTGAAGCGGAGTTTTTTGGTGGCTGACTTAATCTATCTTTACTCAACACATCATTCATTAGTCTAGTATAATTTTTGCAATCCTCTGCCACATCTTTCCATCTTTTTTCAATTTGATTAGCAACTTTATATCTTTTAATACGTGCATTTTCATTATTAAATCTCGCAAGGTTATCAATAAGATATTTAATACTTTCAATTTGTTCAGACCAAAAATCTTCTATTCTACCAATTTCTATTACAATTGAATATAAACCATCACCAACTTGATTTATTTTCTCAACCAAATTATTTCGTTCATGTTTCATGGCCACATCATTACAAAAAATACCAGCTGATCCAGTTAAATAAACTATTATAGCAAGTAATACACGACTAGCTAATGCAGAAGCCCCGAAAAAAAACAATGTCCCAAATGTTGTATAAATAGGATGATCCTTAAGTAAATTTAATGTCTTAACCAACAACTTTCTAATTGAGGATTGTTGTACCGAATCAATTTTATGAGGAAATTCATTAATATCATTAATATATTTTAGTAAAAAATTATGAATTTTTGTTAATTTCTCTTTCATTCCAATAGTTTCATCATCAAGAATTCTATTTAGCTCAGTTTCATCAATTTCTTTTGAATCTTCTCCTATAGTTTTATTTAATTTTTCTCTGACTTCAGTTTCGTCAGTTTCTTTTCTTATAGTTTCTCTAGATATTATATTTTTTAATTCTTTAGTTGATTCATAATTCTTTTCAGATTCTTCCAAAAGGTCCGTCAATAAATATAAATTTTCTTCATTAGTATATTGATCAGGATTTCTAAAACATTCAACGAAAAATAAAATATCAACTGAAAAGGTCAATAAATCATCACTAGATTTAACTGAAGCTTTAATAAATTCACGAAAAACTTCACGTTGTTCTCCAATTGCTTGATTAACAATAGTCATAATTTCACTATTATTAATCATTATATCTTCTGAACATTTTTTAAAATTTTCTTCGATAGTTTGTCCAAGATTTCTAATATAGTTTGGTTCTATATCATTCTTTTCGAATACATCGGATTCAGTAGATAATGATGAAGTTCCGTCAATATTCGTCATTTTGGTTTTTTTTTTCCGAGAAAATTTTGAAAAAAAAAAAAAAATACAAAATGAAATATATATTCGTCAGGACAATTGTTACAAAATTGATTTAGATCGTAAATAGTATGTACCGGTCGTACCAACAAAACCAGTTTTATTATATACGCCAACTTAATGATATGCAAGGCGTACAGAATACACAATAGACAGAAAATTTTGCATTGTTTTATTTAACTGATTTTGGTCGATAATGGATTAAAGTATTAAAATTCAAGTGATTTTTTTTTAATACATAGAATAATTAATATTATTTTTTCTTGAGAAAAAGAAATTGCACATTCGTATGACAGGACCCAGAAATATATATATAGGGGTCAGGTGATGAAAAAATTTTTTTACTATGAGCATTTTTTCAGGGCCAGAATTATGATAATGTAAGTCGCTTACTATAATAGGAAATAAAACTTTGACTGGCATTATCAAAAATTTAATAAAAAAGGAAAGATTTTCATGATTTTTTTAGTTCAAAATAAACCTGACCCTATTTCTGGGTCCTTGTACGACTTTTTTTTTTACATTAAGAAACCGCTAAACTTTTTTATTATTAAAATTCAATATTCATTTTCAGTCAAATGAAGTTAATAAATCGCCAAAATTGTTCGATCAACACTGACAACGTAATGTAATAATGGCACGTAATAATTCGTGCTCCAAATTTCAACAAATTTATTAAAAAAGGAAAATTGGTTTTAAAAAAAAAATTATTATTTTTTAACTATTTTTTGAATTTTTACCAATTACTAAAAATTTTTCATAGTTAGAAATTTTTTATTATTTATTTGATACATATGAAATCTCAACTCCTTTATCACAAATGAAAGTTCCATGGTTAAAGTTAATACTCAACAAACTGAAGATAATGCATTATCTCAACTCTTTATTATACATGAATGTTCAATAGCTCAAAATAATATTTACATATCGAAATAATGCATTATCTTTATTCAAATGTAATATCTAGATTATATTCCAGCTTAAAAAATCACAATCATTCTTTTAATTACTCCCGTAAGATGGCAAGATATGTATTCAGTTTTTATTTCTTTCATGAAATAGCTTTATTACATTATCAATCTTCAAAATTTTTGATTAATAATATTTAGTTTTTCATTGTTAGAATTTCTGGATTGGAAAATATATATTAATAATTTATTCATTTATCTTTTAATTACTTGAGATATTTCATAATATTCTAATTTACTGGAATTCAATAATATTATCCACTATTATAATAATTCCAATTATTAGAATAAAGACAATATAAATTACCCATATTAGGATCTTACAATAAACAGCATGTCATGTATAATTAACATAACCTAATTTTGTAGTAGAGATATTTTTACCATCTATAAAATTAAATAAAAAAAATGTATGTAGTATATTTATTTCCAACCACAATTTATATAGTACTCCAATCAAGTAAATTAAATCCTCCAATTAATTGTGATGAACCTTGAATTTTTGCTATTCAAATAGTAGCTCTCTTGCTTATTATCACAATTCATAACTTCTATGAAATGATTATTAAATTCATCCTTACTTGAATGATATAATAACATAAAATTATAAGGAAATTATATTATGAAGAATCTTTTTTACCAATCCATGAAGAAAAAAGAGGATTAAAGTTTGAAGATATGCCAAAAGATTATGAATTAAATCTTGTGGTAACCTATAGGATCAATATTATAAAATCTAATTAAAGGAATAAATAAATCTATGTAATAATTTTACAATTTTTTAATATCTTTTTAATCCTAGTTTATTAGGATCATTATTAATATTTCATATCAAGCAAAACATCAGTTTTTAAGTCGCTACAATATCTTTCATTTCAAGTTGAAATTTTCTTAACCATGATTTCAGGCATAAAATGAAAATTATCTAGTTCCCTTTACTATTACTTAGTAAGGACACGTTATAAACGCGTAACTTATCAATATTAAATATTTTACGTTAAATAATGTTGTAACGCGATTTTTACTGCGCCTTTTATAAATTTATGGTGGGAGTATAAAAAATGTACTCATTATATTGATCATATTGATCATATGATCATGCATAAAATTTATTATTTTCTAGACCAATTTAACTTATTAAAATTAAAATTCCGAAATTTCAATGTAAGATGATCATGATTAAATTGAAACCATAATAGGCGCAAAATATTTCGGAGTATTAACAATAGATAATAGGTTGTGGCTTTTAATTATGTATTACTTAATCATGATGAGTCATGTTTACATCCACAAGATTTTTATTTATATGGAAAGCTTGTGCAACAAAAAATAATATTTATACAGTCCTTTTTCTTTTTTATCTCTTTTTTCATGAATAAATAATATTTTTTCTAATATTATTTCAATATTTTTTTAGTATCGTTTTCCCTATCCCTCCTTTCCTTTCGTTTTCCCCTTTCCCCTTTTCTCCTTCATTTTCCCCTTTTCCTTTCGTTTTCCCCTTTCTCTAATCAGACAAAAAGATCTGCGCTAATGACTTTGGAGTGGTTTCTTGTCTTCTCCACATTTTCCTTCTCAAGAGTTGAAATTTTTGGCTCATTATACTTCGATATTTAAGGAATTTTAGAAGTATGAAAAGAATAGAAAGGTGAGAACTGTTAGACTAGACTAGCCTACTTAAGTGAAGTCAACCAATGGACCTGGTCATTAAAATAGAACAAGTGGATGCAATGATAAGGGAGTTACGGCAACTCTATTGAGCTGGGATTTCAATCAATAAAAATGTGTATCTAACGCGTTTTTATATATAATAAAATGTCATACAACTTGTTATATTATTTATGATATGTTATATTACATATGAAATGTCATGACTCATGAGTAACTGAATCTTTTTTTTTTCGTCAGGTCTATAAATCTATAATGGATACTGTCTCACGTCTATTTTAATGATGTCTGAGAGAAGTTCGTGGTGCGAAGCAATAACCTATTGCTGTGTCTTTGTCAGATCACTTGATGAATCATGAGACTAGGTGCAGTATACATCTTCTTTGTGTTACTAGCCTTAACACTAGACAACAGACGAAAGCTCTCTGAATGGAGAATTACCCAGTTTTCTAGATGAGTGCAAAGTGGTTCAGGAGACTTTAAAAGAGGTGTGTTTTTTTATTTTGCAGAGTGAGTGTTTGCTTGTGTTGGTGAACGGTGGTGGTGGGTAACTAAGAATTACCTGCTTTTTGTTTTAATTTTTTTTATTTTATTTTATTTTATTTTTTTTATTTTTTTATTTTTTTTTTAATTACTTATTCACTAAATAACCAACTCAAGCAACATCTTAACTTTGTTATTGGTAAAGTCTGCTAATTCTAGAGAAGGAATTAGCTATGTCTTCTTTACCATTAAATAAAAATTTGCACATTATTAATAATTTCTTCTTTCT